CCCAACTTGGTGCCAATGCTCGCACTGATTTGGACCGAGGAGTGGGACAAGCTTCAAGTCTTCCGCGGGCTCTCCGCTACTTTACTCATCAATTGGCTTATCTGCCTAGAGCTCGGGGGCCCAAGTGATTGGGTTGCAAGTGGGTTTGAGGGCTATAGTGTAGCATTCCCTCGAAGTCTTTTGCTCGCCTCGTATTGTCCCTACTCCCTTAGGAGTTGGATATTTCGTTGCAACCACCACAAATTCTGCCATCTTCAAGATTTGGTGTTTCCCTTCCCCTAAAGTTATAAGCAGTTCTATGAATCCTTCAGGTTTGACTGACTCGCCTGCAAAACTGACCAGCGGCGTAGGGCTGGGCCTCAGTTGGCTTCGCTCCCATCCCAGAGCGATGTAAGTAGAAAAAGATAAAATGTTAGCCGAGGTGCCCCCCTCGACCAGTATCCGTTTGACTAAGACATGATCAATCTGGGCTACTATGAGTAGGACGTCGTTGTGAGGGTTTTGCAGGCCCTTCGTGTCTTCATCCAAGAATGTGATCTGGTAAGGGACGAGCTGGGTGAAACTAGCGCACGCTTCGTGGCAAGCTTCTCAGGCCAGAGCCTTGCGTTTGTTTCCAGTCTGACCTCCGCTCGGTCCTCCAAAGATCATGTTGATCACAGCAAGTCGATCTGCGCGCTTGGAGGGAGATCGCGTCCTCTCTCTTTCTGTCCTTTCTCCTCTCGAGCCATCTCCTCCACTTCCTCCTCCATTGGGAACTCGTCCCACATGCTTCTTGAAATATCCCTTCTGGGTGAGACCCTCAATCTGCCTCTTCAGATCGTAACAGTCAGAGGTGTCATGGTCGTGGTTCTTGCGCTTCTCAAGGCTTCGATGCATGGGGTTGGGCTCGATGAGTAAGTCGAGCTTTGAGTCTTATATGTTAGAAGTATTTCTGCCACTAGAATGTTCAAGGGTGTGAAACAATCGTACCGTTCAGGTCGGTTGTGCTTCTAATCTTACTTCTGCCGGGAGTCACGATCGAATTGTCGCTGGCACTACGACGACCTCCTAGAGTTGTCCCAACTTCTTCTTTCACGCATGGGACTGACTCTTTGCGAGTCTTCCCACAACTAGATGAGCTCACTGGCTTGCATTAACTTCCGAGCTCGCTCGATTTGGCCTTGATGGTGAACTTTGGCTTCTTGGCGAGCCACCATTTTAGCTATTCGTGGCACACCTCTAAGGCAAACGCCGAGCAGGCGAATTCCTCATTGCACGAGATCGGAATTTGCACGTCGAGGAACCTCCTCACATAATCCCCCAAGCTTTCCCTGGTCTTTTGCCTTATCGTAAGCAAGTATTGAGCATAATGCTGGGTTTCCTGCTGAGCTGCAAATTGGGCTACAAAGGCCTTGCTAAGCTGCCTCCAGGAAGAAATGGAGTGGGACAGTAGTTGCCGGTACCATTTCCTCACGGAGCCTTGCTGGGTAACCGAGAATGCCCTGCACTTCATTGCATCGGGGTAGGCGTTAAAGTTCATTAATGACTCATAAGTTTCAACGTGATCTACCGAGTTGGCTGATCCGTCGTACTTGTCAAAGCTCGAGAGCTTTACCTTGGACGAGATCGAGGCGGTCAATATAGCCTGAGTGAAGGGCGGTTCGTCAGGCTTCTCGTTATCTGAGATCGGCTTCCCCTAGACCTTTCAGAGGTTGTTCTTGAGCTCCTTCCGAAGTTGCTCAAACTACTACAGTAGGTCCTCGTTGTTAACCAACTCCGACCTTGTTGAGATGTCGTCTTTCTTTGCATAATACTTCTGGTCCAGGACCTGGCGGAGGTCTTGCCCGTTCAGTGAGGAGAGACGAGCGCGCATGTCCTCTTGCTCCAAGGGACGGTCGTTTCCTTCAAGATGAGCTTTGACGGGTTTGGTCCAATCGACTTATCTTGGTCAGCCCTGATTGCCTTCGCTTTCCCTCTTCTGGGATCGCCAAAGACTTCGAGCTTAGGGAGTGGTACCCCCGCGGTCTGTAACGCCTCAGCCTGGGCCGCGACCTGGGCCCTCATGGCGTTCATTTCATCTTGCGGGTCAAACACTACCTTGACCTGGAGGCGAGATTTCGACCTCTAAAAGTCTGCCCGGGTTTTTGGCTTCCGACCGATTAGTGGTTTGGAAGCGCAAGGCCGAGCTTTCGGGTCGTTTAAATGGTGGTTGCTTGTCGTTTGGGAACCTTTCGATGACTAGATGTTGAGCGATTTGATTATTTGGACGTGACAGCGTTCCCACAAACAACGCCAACTGTTGATGCAAAAATTTGCCAAGGCACGGATCACGACCTAGGAGGTCGGCTGGCAACACTTAGAACGATTCTCGGGGTACCTACAAGGAGGGAAGGCACTCTAACACCCAAATTAGTATATCATCCGAGCTCAACAGATCAACGTCGGATAGATTTCATCCCTGAGTTGGTGATGGAGGGTGTATTTATAGCAGTTGGTTCGACCAAAGAATGAGAACAGGATTAAAAGAGACTTGGTCGACTTAGCTACGTTGGGCGTCGGCTCAGTACTGGAAAAACCGACACCGAGGTAATGAATGTTGGCTTTATCAACCAAAGCTACGTATGATTTTTACCCTCCAATCAAGATGCGCCACTTGTGTACCTAAAAATCACCCAACAACCCTTTTTTAAGTATATGACGATACTAGACACAAATTTGAAGGTTAAAGGATAAATTTGTAATTTACACAACTTAATATCAAAATATATAAGTATATATAAACTAGTGTGTGTGTATATATATCAACAACCATCACTGCTCCCCTAACTACTCTACATAAATCACTTGTGATTTTTTTAGTACAATAAATGTAATGATATGTATTGACCATCGTCAACCTTTAGGAAAAGAGTAAGATGTCTTAACCGCATGTTGGTACTTTTTAGTGATTTTAATTTTTCTCAAAGTCACTTTTATATTTATATGATTAAATATCATTATTTTTCAAAGCAAGTGATTTTAGCCATATTAAAATTACTCCCAAACATGTCTTAATATATGTTACCACTTAAAGAATATAGATAACTTTTTACAAAAACAAAAAACCAGGAAGCAAGCAAGACATTTTCTTTCTTTATTTTAGGGTTTCAGCCAAAATAGGGAGCTTTTTATGTTACGACAATTTCAAGAAAATTTAAAAACAAGCAATTAACTTGTTTGTAGCATTGTGTTAGACTTTCATCAATATATACTGTTGGTTCAACATCGGACATTAAAGTCAATATTTCTATAGTATCTGAAAAGCAATTAACAAAATATCGAAAATATCAACAAAATATCATTAATATAGACATAACATTAATACTAATAAATTTTAATTTATTTTTTTAAAAAAATGAAATGTTTATTCGTTATTTTAAATATTTATTGTAAATTTTTTAGTTAATTAATTTATAATTTTTCTAAAGATATTTATCGACCTTGATATTTCATCAATATTTTTATCCAGATTTCTATAAATTTGAGATTTTGACCTCTCATGAGAATCATAGTATCTTTGATGATTTGCAAACTAAAGAGGTAGGTTGGTTCTTTAGAGAAAATTTTAAAATAAAATAAAAAGAAACAGAAACATATTTTACTTTTGGGTTTCAGCGGAAAATAGTGAGACAAAAGAATAGTTTTATCTAAAAAATTAAAAGGTAGGGATAGTTAAAAATTCGGAAATTTACAGGTGCAGTTGGTTGGTGAGTAAGAAATATTTAATGAAAAACGGGCTTTCTATTCCATATTTTCAATGTTTTTTAAATATATGTTTGATAATAGATTTGAAAATTGAATCCAAAAAATTTTCAGATGATTTAAAATTTAGGTAGTTACCAGCTAAATATTTAGTTCAGTCTAAAATAATATTAATTAATTTATTAGTGTATATATTATAAATGGGTAAAATTATTAGTTTATAATGTTATATAATTTATAATATATTACATTTTACCTGTTTTAATTTTGACAAAAATAAAATGAGTTTATAACATGAAATAATATATTTATCAAAGTTTTTATCTCTTTCTTTTAATGTAATTCTACATTTTAAAGTTTCAAATTCAAATTTTGAAAACACTAAAAATATAAAAAGAAAGGTTGTTTTTAGAATTTCTACTGTTTATATCAAAGAATCCGAAAACAGTTTCCAAAAACATATCGGTCAAATAAATATTGTTTTGTAAATATGATCATTTTCAAAAAGAAAAAAAAATTGCATCTATTTAGACATTTTTACGTAATTTTCTTTTTATCCTCGTATAGCGCTCATGTACGTTTATCATTCTATTAGTAATAGACTATATCACTAATTGACAAACTATATCAATAATCTATCAAAAATCTATCAAAGATATAATATATTGTTTCAAGGCTAGTTATTTCGTGAGTGGATTTGGACTGGATTTCTTCTCTTTTTTTTCCTTTTTTGTTTGGTTATATTTGTAAATCTGTAATATTGTTTACTACATTTTGAATTAATTGGACTTTTTTTACCACATGCAAGCACCTCTAAAATTCTCAATGTTACATTTGATTTTAGACTTTCTTAATTAAATAGTAAACACATTTTATGCTTGAAAATTGGGCAAAAAGGTTGGCTACAAGAATCGATTGGTGTCCATGAACTTCATAAATTCTTTGGCCCACCCATATTTAATTGTGCTCTCTCGTAATCCAATTCATCATTAATCGAAATTAATTGTTCATTAACATCAACACTATTTAACCTTTCCTCACTAAATAAATTTAGCTCAAATACCTTTTTTAAATTAATTAATCAAACTCTTCAATCAATTAATTTTGTCATTTTAACACCTTAAACAAAGTTATATAAGTTTTGTTCACAGTGTTCAGTATAGATTCTCTTTAAGTAACATTACTGAATTATCTTACTACAAGAATATCTATAACATCCATAATAAGAGCTTGAATGGAAAAATAAATAAATAAATAAATATGGAATCAAACATACAAAATTTTCCAGAATGTGTTTTTCAAATCAGTGATACATATCTCCACAGTATTAAATTAAATACATATAAAAAGTGGTGCTTAAAAGATGGTATATTGAGCCATTATACCATTTTTGTTGTTTCTCAACAACACATTAGACACTTCTGTAAATATTCTAATTTTTAGACATTTCTAAAATATGGTAACATGGAAAGGGTAGTTATGTCATTAGGCATTTCTTTTGATAATCCATTTGAATGGTGCAGACTTATTTACTTGGAGAGGGAAGCTCAATAATCAGCCAAAACTCTCATTCATTCAGCCTTCTTTTGAACACTGTCTTCCTTCTGAAGCATAGTAGATTGATCCTTAAGTCCTGCCATTGAAATGTTAAATTGTTAAAGTGAAAGCAATAAATACTTCGAAGCAAGACGAAAGAAGGTTTAAATTCTACTTTAGTTCTTAAACTTTCGTGTTTATTTCTTCTTGATCCTTTTGTATTCAGATAAGTATTTGAATCTACATGTAGTGGGTCAGATTTCGAACGTTCATGTTCTTGTTAAATGATTAGTAAAAGAATCAATGACGATGACTAATAGTTTTTGTACCAAATTAAAGAATTTCATGCAGTACATTTGGAAATTAGGAGGTTAAAACAAAACATTAAAAAGTTTAAACACCTAGCAAAAAAGTCATGAACATAAATAGGATTAAACAAAAAAGAACTATCAGACACATGTATATGCATGGATGCATGTACTTCACATGCCAACCAAAGGGTTCTTCAACAAAGTTGAACTTGTTTACTAATCTGCAAATGGGATGAAAATTAACCAAGGATGTAGAGACCTCCAATACCTCCTCTCTTCTTTTTTTCTTTTTTTTTTTTTTCTCTTTATCTCCAACCTTGTAAACACCTCTTGACCTGCCCTCACTAATCTTCAGGTCAGCTTCTCTAATTCCAAAGCTAGAACTTTAGAGAGAATATCCAAACATTTGAAACCCTAGCATCCTAGTGACAATATTTACAACAAAAGGAGGGTGTTGTTCAATAAGAGGTCTTTTTCTAGGAATGTAAGTTATAAATGGTGAGTTTTTTAATCTGTGGTTTAATGTGTGAGCACAAGTTTGAGGGATAACCTGTTGAAGAGAACATTTGTACAACAGCCGAGAAGTTTAGACAATTGCCCAAAATTTCTTTCTACAGATCAGCACAGAGTCTGTGTTCTTTTCTTTAGTTTGCAGCGTCCGCATTTCGACGTCCCACAGATATTTTGGAGCGAGTTCTTGTATTCTTGATGTTATCGAAGGCTCGTCTCTAATGATTATGTATCCCTGTAAATGAACATTAACTCTAAGTCCTTATCCAAAGGCAACTTGAAGCATAAATCAGCAACAGTAGAAGATATTAGTCTGCCAATAAGCAGATTAATGTTCTCAGTTTCTGAAAATTAACAATAAAGCAATAGATCCTCATTATAAAGCAGTCTGCCAACAACAAGATAATGCCCAGAAATCTTGCAAATCACAAAGAAGGAAAGACAAGGCACACCGACATGGTGACATTATTTTCTTAAAAAATGGGTGACATTATTTTCTTAAAAAATCTAACACCCATACATGGTAGGGACACATTTATTAGAATATACTTTTCTAAAGTATACATTATTTCCATACTTGATTCTCATGCTAAAATTTTGTTTTATTTTATGACATTTTTAAATATTGGAGATAATATGAAAGAAGTAATGATATATGCAATATTTTAACAAGTTGGAGGAACTAGTTACTTATTTTTAGTGATAAATAGCTTGAATCAAAATTTTCAAAGAGATTCAAATCAATTTATCATTTTTCTAAATGATTTCACATTTCAACAAAAAATCAAATTTAAAGTCAATAATACTGATGCAATTTTAAGCCTAAAATTAAGTTTCATGCATTTCACTCACATATTTATTATTTTTGTCCTATATCTTTATTCATGTCCATATTTTATAAATACTTTAGTTCATGGGTTCAATAATTGTTTGTCAATGTGTTCATTGTGCTTAACAAGTGATTGACGTCAGGCTCATTCAGTTTGTTCAACTAGTGTCAAACACATGTTTATTACAGTTAACAACTGTTGGACTTGGACATGTGTCCAACAAATTTCGTCACAGACAAGTTACCCAAATTTAAGTATTTGTGCTACATAGCAATCTTATTTAGTTCAGCAATATTATTTCAAGGGTATTTTCGTGATGTTCTTGTTCTTTCTCATTTATCTTTTTTTCTCGATGAGAATCATGTGTCTAAAAATTGTTCCATATTTCTCATTCATATTTATAAGAAACGTTCTTATCCAAATTTTAAAAATAAAAAACCTAGCTAAAGATTTGGTTTTTTGCTTTTCCCTTCCTATTTCCAAATTCTTAAAATCAGTGTTATTGAGGCGCACCCGAGTGCTCGCCTCTCAGAAATTGTTCCATATTTCTCATTCATATTTATAAGAAACGTTCCTATCCAAATTTTAAAAATAAAAAACCTAGCTAAAGATTTGGTTTTTTGCTTTTCTCTTCCTATTTCCAAATTCTTAAAACCAGTGTTATTGAGGCGCACCCGGGTGCTCGCATCAGGCGAGAGGCGAGGCCAGTGTTTTAAAAAGCTCGAGGCGCACTAAAGCGCAATAGACCTCTGGAGCTTAAACTCAAGGTGCAAAAAAAAGCGCAGGCTTTTTTTCGCGAGGCGCACTATATATAAAGATAAATAAAAATATATATACACACATATATAACATATAAAGGCCAAATAATATTCAAAGTTCAAACATTATAAAGAGAAAAAAAGAGAGAGAAGAGGTTGAGAAATGACAGAGATGGAAAGCTTTTGTGTGGAGGTTTTGTTATAGAAAAATATTTCCTTCCATGTGAAGGAAGAGAGAGAAATCACATAATATTAAAGGGATTCACGTAAATGGAGGAAGAGAAAATTGAAAAGCTTTTTCTATAGTTTTACAGAAGCGCCTGAAGCGCAGCGCTTTGCGCTTCGAGGGCTTCAAGGGAGGCGCACGCTTAAGGCGACCCTCCTTCATTTCGCCTTGCCTTTTCAAGGCGAGGCGCAAGCATTGCACCTAGCGCCTAGGCCTGGGCGAGGCGATTTCGTCCAGGTGCGCTGCTCAATCGGGCGCTCGCCTCAATGCGCCTCGGCACGCCTTTGTGCGCCTCTCGCCTCAGGTCAGGCGACAACATGTGTTTATTGTGCTTAACAAGTGATTGACGTCAGGCTCATTCAGTTTGTCCAACTAGTGTCAAACACATGTTTATTACACTTAACAAGTGTTGGACATGTGTCCAACAAGTGTCGAAGTATGACAGGCACATTACCCAAATTTAAGTATTTGTGCTACATAGCAATCTTATTTAGTTCAGCAATATTATTTCAAGGGTATTTTCGTTATGTTCTTGTTCTTTCTCATTTATCTTTTTTTTCTCGATGAGAATCATGTGTCCAGAAATTGTTCCATACTTCTCATTCATATTTATAAGAAACATTCCTATCCAAATTTTAAAAATAAAAAACCTAGCTAAAGATTTGGCTTTTTGCTTTTACCTTCCTATTTCCAAATTCTTAAAAGTTAAAACATAGTTAGAAGTATTATTTTATCATTTTTTTAACTAATAAAATGCATAGTAAATATTAAAAAAAAAATTAAAAGACAATAATTACCAAACATATTTCTAATAAAAGAAATAGTAATAAGAAAAATTACCACATACGTTTCCGTCTTTATTTCTTAAAATTGAAAACAGAAAAAAAAAACGAGAAACAGTATATACCGAAACAAACAGATTCCCAACTTCCAATCAAAATTTTGACCATGCTAAATGCATCGAGGCAAGAGAAAACACATCCCAGCAAGAAATGTTCGCAATGTTCATTACCAGAAGAATGCATTAAAATAATATTTGCAAGTATTCTTTCCATTTTTTTATTCATGTGAAAAAATACAGGAGTCAAATAAATTACCTGAGGTCGTACAATACGGTCCATTTCCAGCATTATATCCTCCAGCAAGCAACCTTCTTCACCACTTTTATATTGAGAAAAAAGATGGTAGACATGCAACAAATCATATGTGCGTGGATAAGTTGAAAATGGTTCGCACCTGTGTTACACCAGATATTTGAAAATCAAACTTTCATTGAGACAAATGAAAGAAAACAACTGGGTAATACAAAAAAGAAAACGTAACAAAAGGGACACTGAAAATTACTAAAAAGGGCCGTAGCTAAAGTGAATGAGAATATGAGATAAAGGGTAGAAATAAAAATACTTAAAGACATCAACACCAACACCTAAAGAAAAGCACGGAACCTAGTCCTGGCTCACACCTCCCCAATAAAGTTGCACGAGGTAGGAAAAAAGTTGCACGCCTATAGCTCTGCTAATATTTTGGAGGTATTTAGAAGGAAATAACTTACCAATCATGAAATGCGCCAATCAGACCTCGGTTGTATATAGCAGAGAGTGTATTTTGCATCTTTATAGGAACTACATTCATAACCCAAACTGGAAAATTTCTGAATGCCACTGCAAAGCCACCATACAGAGCATTCATGTCCATGACATTTCGAATATCTGTTTTACTGACATTCATCAATTTCCAGTACATGTTGACTTGATCTTTCCAAAAAATGGTATCCGAATCAAATTCCTCTTGACTAACATCTGTAAGTGAACACAGAAATCAGTGTCATATTACACAGCAATTAGATTTATAGGTAAGAAAAAGTAGTCCTAACTTCAAATAATTAAGATACTTCTTGGGAAAGTGAAATAACAAAGTTTCATCTCATACCATTTTTTAGCCCGAGAGTGTTACGCCCGATGAACTAAGGTCTCGTTTACTTATCATCAATAAGAACATAAATAATTGGAAGGAAAATCAGTTGGAATTGAAACGGTAATCCTCCGATGTTGTTTACTTGAAACTAACTAGAATTAGAAATATATTCATGTTATTGCATGAGAAATATGAATGAATAGCCATATTATAATTACCATAATACTCCTGAACGAATAAGCCATATTATAATTACCATAATACTCTTCCAATGCACTAACCATTTTTAAATACATCAACAAAAAAGAAGATGCTAGTAGAATTTTTAATTAGATAAACAATTACTGATAATAAGTTTTAATGTAGTAACGAAATCTATCTTCACAAATTATTTGATATTAACAAGTAATAACTAATTATTATTAAATAATTAACAAACTAGGTAGAAGCATGTAATATTTGTCCAACTAAAAAAGGAAGGAACAAATGATGATAAAGTATTATTAAATATCTGTATTTTGAATTTAACAGTTAAAAATTAAAATTCAATAATAATTAGCCTCTAAATCCCTTGTAGCTTTAATTTTTTTTTAAATCCGTGGGGCAACTGCCTGATTCTACTACATTTGGTTGACAACGTAACTCGTAGGATATTAATCCCAGGTAGGTGGCCACCGTGGTTTGAACTCATTCCCTCTAAGTCTTTTACTATTTATATTGGCCCTCATTGGCCACTTGAGCCATCCCATGATGGTTCCCTTGTAGCTTTAATTAGAGATATATTTAATAAATAAGTAAGTTACCATTCCAAACAGTTTTTAAAAATAAGTTACCATTCCAGACAGTGTTAAAATGAAAACAACTATGAATCATTATTGCTATTAAAATTAAAAAAATAATAATAAAAATAAAAATAAAAAACTAACTAACTAACTATGAACCATTATCAAATTTATTATTCAAAATTCTCTCATGAAAAAACATTAAGAAAATGCACAAATAAGTTATGAAAGTTCTTAAATGTTTTCTTAATTGATTCCGGCTTTTAAATGATAATTGGCTATAAATAATGAACAGTGAGGATGTATTTTGAAAGAAAAGAGTTACCTATTTTCCTGAGACTCTCCGAATATACTGAAAGACGCTCAGGTCTTGGAGGTAACTTCTGAGATTTTGACTGATCAGTTCTTGCATGGATACAGTTTCTTAAAGGTGTTTTCCATGATGGTATAGAATCATCCACAGCATCACATATTTGCACAATTTTACGCTCTGCATTGTCAAGAAGGCATGATTGATTTTCCTGTTTGATCCAGATTGCTGTCTGAATCTTTCTGGCGATGAGCTTCCAGCACATTGCTGTTGTCAGATTTACCAGTTTCTCCCAAATCATTGGGAAATCTTTATCTTTTCTATAAGCAGGGGGTGCCGAATAGACAAAATATCCATTTGGTCGCAGAAGCCTATCAGCTTCTTTGAGTAAAATACCATCTGTAGAGAAGAAATACTAAGTGTAACTTCAATTGCTTCCAAGTATACATCAAAACGTCAACTTGACAAGATTCAGAATGAAGGCATATAACAGCCTTCATCAGAATTTCCTTGTTTTCCATCACATGCATCATGCGGAAAGGAAACAGAACTTATTCAGCTCTAGCAAAGCAAATAAGTTGGAACTTTCTGGAAGTTTGTAATTGTAATCGTGGACATGGATCATGACATCATGGTAACCATTATCTTGCCACAAGATGTTAGAAGTTTTTTTTTTACTATTCCATATTTAAAACGCAAATTCTAAAATACTGATCTTGTGATAAGTATTTACCAAGACGAATTGCAGTCTGTTGCATACCAAACGAAGCAAATCCACTTTTAAGTCTCTTTTGCAACATCTAGACTTAGTCTATCAAAGGTTTCCTTTTCTTGTTTTGTTCCTTTTTTTACCCTTGGCCTCCTATCCGGGCAAGTTTCAGAACTTGACAGGAAGAGAATAGTAAATAAAAGTCTGATAGGCCTCCAATCTGGTTTACCAATACTGGGCAGGGACTCATAAGATGTACTAAGAAATAAGGACTAAGGAGTGACTGAATATATTAATTAGGGAGGTTGTGGGTAGTTAAGGCCTTACAGGAAGTTATGGGCAGTTTGACGAAGTTACAAATAGTTATGGATGGTTAATTACTTTGGTGGGATTTGATCTTATGTATGATGTTGGGTAGTTTTTTTTTCCTTCTTTTTGAGGAATTTAAATGTTGGGGAGTTAGTTAGTTGTGTGTGTGTCATGTATTTAGTGACCATGTAAAGGAAGGGGAATTATATTTGAATGGTATTACACATAGAAAGGGAAATCTTTCAGACCTCTCGCATGTCTGAACTAGGCTGTAATTCATCTCTAGGTCATTTAAGAGGTTACACTAGTGATTATGGCTACCAATTGGCATCAAAAGATTCAAAACAAATTCAAACCTTGGGAATGGATCAAGAATTCAGACAAACATCGCTAAAAAATGTGCAATATAATCAAATAATTGTTTAGAGGACAACAAATATTAATCTTGCCACGATTTCCATAAAATCGCAAGCTATACACTGCAGCAGGGTGGTTTTTTAAAATGATTAGTCATTTTCCTGATATCCAGAATATGAGACCTCAAAGTATGAAAAAGCTACCATAATAAATAATGACACTATTTGTGCTTAAAAAGTACCGAAATACCATTTTCATGCCAATCAACACGACACCTTGAGCAGTGGACCATCTCGAAGGAACTTGTGGGATATGGTAATTGCATTGTCGCCAAGGCAGAAATCATTGCACCAATACCTCTCTCTAAAGCAAACTGAATCTGATTCTCATGTCCATCCTTGGGAGCAAATGACATCGTTTGGATGTCCAAGGGAAGAAGATAAGCTGAGAAACTAGCAACACCACAACCAACATCTAAAACCTGAAATACTCCAGCAGAGCGTAGACTGCCCGTCTCATTTGTCGTCATGTTTCCTAATCTGCACTAGCATAAAATTTGATAAATAAAACAGTTTGGAAAATAGAAGAAATCTGATCATTTATTCAGATTGATCAGAAACTACAAGGAAGCATTTTGAACATCAATTCCCAAACTGAATATTAAAGTAAAGCCGCTGGACAGATAAATATGAGCCAATGATTAAGGGAGCTACAAGCTAGTATGGAAATAAACAAAGGAAAAAAGAAGGAAACTTTTAATCATCCGACAATAAAACCTTTGGATGTACTCGGACGCCCCATGTTTGAAATGAGTACCACCTCCAGGAAACCACCATAGTTGGTTCTTCTCATGCACCCAATTTTGTCCTCCTTTAACTTCAGCGAGGCGTGTATGATTCACATTGCTTCGCCACACATAATCCCGACTGGTTGGCCACCTTACCGGGATCTTGTAGTCTTCTGGTGGAGGTACCAGGCAAAACAAGCGGTTTTCTACTGGAGGACAGTGTCTCTCAAGTTCTTCTTTTCTCGAAATATCCAATGTTGGAAGCAATTCTTTTACATAAGACATGTCGTGGCATGGAATATGCTCATTGTATTTTAATGGGCATACATTCATACCATTCTCTGGAATCGAAAGTGGTACCTCTCTGTAAGTGATTGAAACTTGATTTGGAATTGTAGAAGTGCCTGCAGTGTAAGTGGTAAACTTATGTCAGGGAATTACAAGTTCACAACAAAAACATCAGATCTTTGAAGTTCTCTAGAAACATGAGGCTTTATCACAAGCCCAGAAGGTACCTACACGCTCGTCCAAGAAGGAAAGTTTGTGAAAGATGAAGGATATATACACATTGAGATGTAAAACCTATCTTATAAACAATACAGTGTGGTAGAATTTAGTTGCTTTATATCAAAGCCAGTGATTAGGCCCAAGAAATCTTAATTTCACTAGAATAATCAATGATTCACCCACTAGACTGATTCACGAGGATGTAGTGGATGAAGTTTGAGTTTAGTTCCAAAGTGATTTATATAAGCAGGAAAAAGATAGTGGTAATAATAGTCTTATCTCCATGGATATGATTTGTTTACTAAGTATACCCTTCTAAGTGAGATTTCACTGTCCCAACTGATGGTGGTGGGCCTTCCTTAAAAGAAGGAAATCATAACTAACAGAAACAACTGAGCATGGAAAATGGGAGAAGGAAACATCCCATATACGCTCAGTTTTTTTTCCTTAATCTCCACATTATTTTGAACAATCTAGAAAAGGGAACAACAAAAAAAGAAACCCCCATCTACAAACCCAATCCAGAACGCAGAATTCTTACGAGGAACACGGAACAATACAAGATCTAAACCAAAAGGTAAGCATTAATTACATACAAATATAGAAGTTAAATTAAAAGAAAAGAGAAGTTACTAAAATTGGGTTTTCTTATCTAGAACATAGAGAAACGAAATTACCAAGTGATGACGAAGAAGTGGAATTGGAAGGAAGGTGAGAAACATAAATAGGAACATTGTTGCCGAAGAGAGTGCCAAAATAGAAGGATCCAACCATGAATAACAGAGCGAGCATTATCATCTGCCATGTCTGCAGAGCAAAAGCAGAACCCAGCCCGTGGCCACTCCCCATTGTCTTCCCCACAGAGCTCGGATCTCGAAGTAGAGCTCCACGCTCGAAGCTTCAGAAATTCTTCAAGATTCAAACGGCATTTCCATTTGAGAGATCTCTGGCTACAAATAGATTCGAACGTGAAAGTTAGTAAGAGCCTGGGTGAGATTTGATGAAGCTCACTCTCAGAGATGGATCGAAGATTTCGCTCCTGAAACTTGAAACTCTTTCGCTTTCACGATTCCTCCTTTTTCTGATTGAGAACCTTCTTTTCGTTGTTTTGTTTTTTTTTTGTTTTTTTTTTTTTTTTTGGATTTTGATTGTCTTTTTCTCTCTCTTTCTTTCTGGATTTTTGGATGATGAAATTGATATTTCAACTTTATATGATAAATCAATTTCGATAATTTTGCTACAAATAGTGTAATGGGAAAAATGAAAATTACAGTATCAGTGATTTCCGTTTACACAAATCAATCAAATCATATTGTCAAAAATAATAATAATAACAATAATCAATCAAATCATATTCATTTGGCATTTTCCCATTCAAGATTGTGACTTATCTTTATAACATACCGTGAACTAAGGCTAAATTGTACTAAATACCCCTGAACTTGTTCAAAATTAATCTTTATCCTTTTAAAATTTTCAATTTACCAATTTTTCAAGGAAATCGTGTTACATGTAAGACAAAAAGATTTTTACATGACTAATGACCCGTAAAACGATAGTTTCATCTGAGTTCAATCGAAACCATGTTCGGAGCCAATATGTAGACTGAATTTGGATAGGTTCGTTGAGCCATATTTAAATCCACGAATTGGACTAACCGTTTTTTGTTGGAAAATTTGAATTAATGGTTCCATCTTATTTTTCTGGATTCAATATCTTTCTACCAACTAGATTTTCTTTTATTTTAAAATAAAGTTTTTTTTTTTTTAAGAAAAAAGCCACTACATCCTATATTTTTCTGGATTCAGTATCTTTCTACCAACTAGATTCTCTTTTATTCTAAAATAAAGTATTTTAGATTTTTTTAATTTAAGATTTATTATTTCAATTTTTTGTTTGATAGTGTTTTTTTTATAGATTTGATTGTACGAGTTTCTATTAACTAAATCTTCAATTTCTTCTAAAACCAGACTCAATATCTTTCAATCAATTGAGTTTTCTTCTATTCTAAATTAAAATTGAAATATTTAACAAATTTTTGTTTCAAATTTTTGTTTGAAAATGTTGGTTTGATTTTTCTATTTATTAAATCTTAATGGACTTGCCAATATATTTTTTTCAATCTTATGTGTGATTTAAGATTTTTTTAAAAAAAACTTTTAATCTTTTATTTGAATTTTCAGTTTCGTACTTATCAATTGTAACTTTTTGTTTTGTTGGTTCGGTGCACTAATTTTATTTTGTTTATTTTCAATATATCATATTTACCATTTATTGTAATATAACTTAATTTACTATTATTGAGGGTAGAACATGAGCAGGACGTGTATCTACCTTCAGTAAATGCAGGACCACATACGGTTACGTACTACAAGCCAGCATTGTCGAGCAAGACACATGTCCGCTCACGAAGAAGTGTTGGACCACAGACGATTACATACCATACGTAAGAGTAGGAGGAGGCGCACATTATTTGTACGAGGGGCACACCCTGCAGTTGCAGGCGACAGGACTATAGGCAAGATTCGAACTATACTTTTTGGATAAAATAAATAAATAAAAAGATAAATAAAAGTTAGAGTGAAAGATAATTGAATGAAAAAATAAGATATAATTTTCGAAGGACAAATAGATTAAGAAGAGAAAAAAAGTTTTAAAAACGAAATTGTAGAGAGAGAAAAGTTCGAAAAAAAAATTTTAGAGGGAGAAATGAGAGTGATCTATTAAAACAAAAAGAAAAAAATAAAAATATTTAAAGATGAAAATTTTTGGAGAGGAATAAATAATAATAAATATTTAAAATATAAAAATTTTAAAAGATAAATTTAGGAAGAAAAAAATTTTAGAGTGAAAAAGATATTTGTTAGAGAATATGAGAAAGAAAAAAAAGTTGAGTATTATAAGAAAAATTGAATTGGTTACCAAACCACATCGTTTTTTAAAAACTAAAAACCAACCACCAAAAACAGAAATCGAAATGGTTTTCAAACAGGTCTAAAAAATTTTAGAAATTTTGTAACTCTTTATCTTCTATAATTATATAAATAGTTTTTTCTTACTCTTTCTCTCAACTTTTTTCTCACAAAGCTCAGCATTCTTTATTATTCAATATGTTTTTCTCTCTTGTGTTTTCTTATATTTTAATTAGATTGTTTGATCTAATGCTAACTTTTAGTTTTTCTTTCAATACAATGTTAATAATTGTAATTTCATATAAAATTTGATTACCTACCATATAGAAGTAATTTATTCAAAAAGATAACAAGATGACATACTTGCATTTCTCTTTTTTTCTTCTTCTATGTGTCATTCTCTTTTCAATGACTCGAATAAAAAATAAAAACAAAGTTTTATTTCCTTTTATGTCTCATATATTTAGGAAAAAAAATATGAAAAATCCATAAATATGTGTTTTTTTTAGAAAAACATATTCAAGTAATCGACAAATATGTGTTAATTTTTTTTATTTTTGCTTGTTGTATTATACTTATGGGAAATTTCAAGTAATCGACACTTCTCAATTTCTTTCAGTCACATCAATCGGTTCAGTGGGTGATGAGAATTATTGAAATGTCGATTTTATGAGGTAAACATGGAAAATACAAAAAATTTAATGAGATAAACATTGAGAGATAAAATAGCACAATTATATTAAAATTTTTTTAACTATTTATTTAATTTTCATGTTTTTATACTTTAAAATAAAATTATGAAATTTCAAGTGCACCGTACGTGTTTCATACTAGTATATTGTAAATTATACAACATTGTAAAATAATAATCATATAAAATGTATTATAAAAGTGTTAATAAGTTAATTAATATTATTTTATATTAAACTAAATATTTAATTGATAACTACTATCGGGATAATTAAACAGAGGAGTCGACATCAACAAAGGGGAGAAAATATTTTTCCCCTTGTCAACAGGTTAATGATATGTCCACAAAAACATCACTTGATTTTTTTTTTTTAATCAAGGCACTTAAAAAACAGAATGAATCCATGAGATTCTCATTTTCAGTTTCTATTCGCCTAACCTTGAATGAATATGTGAATGCTACTGCCGTGCGCCCATGAGATTCTCGATTTCATAATCATTGATTTTTTATATATGGGATTAGTACATTGATGGGCTATGAATTTACACGTCATGTATTAACCTTATTTAAGAGGGTACCTATCACATAAATTACTTAAATACCCTATTGTATCTACAAATTAATTTTTAATTCATTTTAAGATGCAGAATTGATTAATTGGAAGGTTATAATTTAGATCCCATAATTTTAGGTTAATGATACTTTCTAAAACAAATTAAAACACGGAAACATTAAAAACAAAACCCTAAATTCCCCAAAATTGAAATCATAACCTCCCAAAATATCTCTAAATCCCGTTTAAAAATCTCCCAAAAGAAAGAAACAAACATCCATTTTACAGAGGCTTTTGTAAGAAAGAAATTGACAAAGATTTGAAACAATATCCCAAAATCCCCCAAAATCCAAAAATAACAATCATCCAGACCATGAGACGTTTAGAACTTCAATTTTGGAGGACCCTATCTAGAGACTATAAGATATATGTGTATATATCTTATACTATATATAAGATATATATCCATTTATACGAATATAATCAGGAATACTAAGACTATGAGACATTTGGAACTTCAATTTTCTATACACATACACAAAATATATCCCCATATATATCAATCTTAACGGAAGACTAATAATTACCAATGGTATGGAGGACCCTTTCTACAGAACTATAAGATATATGTGTATATATCTTATATAGAACTTCAATTTTCTATACACATACATAAAATATATCCTCATATATACCAATCTTAACAAAAGACTAATAATTACCAATGGTAAAAACAGAAAGGGACAGGAGACGAGATAAACACTCAACGGCGTTGATGGAAGAACGTTGTACGGCGTCGGAAAAGTGCAACGAAAATTGAAGGAATAAATACCTCGTTGACGGAAGCACACGACGTCGACTCGGCAACGAAAAGAAGAAGATCTAGAAGGAAAGAAGAATTAAAAGAAGACGGTATGCAGTATCCTGTCCTCGTTGATGAAGGTCTGACGTCTGAAAGGAAGGCGGCGGCAAACGAAAGAGGTTGGAGACGGCAGAAAACGAAGTGGAAAATTCAAATCATGATTTCACAAATTTGAAAGTTATTAATTGGCGAGAGGATCAAATCTTTGAGAGATTTAAGGATTTTAGGTTGAAAAATTGAATGGACCTACAGTAATTAAATAAATATAATTACAAATTAAGGATTCAAATCTTTTAAATTTTAAAATTATAATATATTAAAAAACAATAAATAAGGGTAGAAAGGGTATTAGAATAAAATTCTACATGAAAATATCTAAAAGTGTAAATTTAGAAAATTGAAGACATTTGTGTAAATATGATTTTAAAATTTTTTACCAACTTGTCATGCCTTAAGGACCCATAACGAGATCAAGAGCCAAGAAACTTCAACAAAATTTACTTGTTCATGTTCAATACTTGGTGAGTTTGGCTAGGGATGATAATAGAGAGATGAAGGTTTTCAAATCAACATCTTCCAAGTATAGCTTAAAGGAGGTGTTGCATTAAATGAACTCAAGTGCATCTCAAGCTTCATTTAGGACAATTCAACCATCAATTAATGGAACTACACTTAAAGATACTTCAAACTACTTAAGTGAAGCTTCATTTACAATTGGGAAGTTACACAAACTTTGAAGGCTGACCAAGACTTCAATTCTCGGATTCAAAGGTCTTTTTGTTGCATTTTCAGTTTTAAACATTCCATTTACATTTCAGCTAGTGAGTATTGTGGTCATCATGTGTAATTGATAGTTACAACATTTCAAATGCCTTTAGGTTACTTTTAGGGTTGTTTTGGAGGCTATAAATAGTCTAGTTTGTTCCCTTGAAAATTCAGAATTTTGTTATTGAATGAAAGTTGCAAATTTACTTCAATGCCTGGAGCTTGTTATTCTTTGCAATTCTTGGGTGTTAGATTTGCATGTTAAGATCATTTAAGTAGCCTTGATCAAGCTATCTTATGGAGTGGTTCGAATCTCGAGTTTATGAATAAATTTTCCCTACTCTTAATATTGATCACCAAGGTAATTCGTTCTAGTCATTCCTTGGGTTGATACAACTTGAATTTTGGGGTTTAGTGTTCTATTTTATAAGGGTTCTAATTCCATTAAGCGTTCTTATAATCAGTTGCACTAGATTTTTTATCATTTGATATCAAAGCTTTAGGCTCTAGATCGGATATATGTTTCCATTTTCATATTGCTCTTCTTGTTCTTTATTTTGAAATTCTTTTCTTCTTGTTCATCTTGTTACATTCCGTCCACATATATAAAATACAAAAAATATGTCATTTCCGTTATTCTTTTCGTCCTTTTGTCTTCTATAAGTTTGTAGATCCTCGTGTTATTTGCAACTTTGTCTTCTTTAATATCTTTTGATTCAATTTGCGTTTGGGTAAAAGATTCGAAAATTGATCTTTTGTTTTGGAAAACTGCTATACCCAAGAGTATGTGTTCTTCTTTGTTCTTTATATTTTTACTTGCAAAGCATGTTAGATCTGAGTTGTATCATTGAAAATTGCATGTTTGTGTTAATCTAGTTGTTGGCCTTAAATCATATCAGTTACACATATTGATTTCTTTCCACAACCAGCAATTACTCATTAAATTCTTGGCAATTACAATTTTCTCATTCAATTTCCAATCATTTATTGTTCAATGCTCATGAAGTTTTTTTTTTTTTTTGTAACTCATATCTGTTGTAAAGACTAATTTAAGCTCCAAAAAAATCTCAAAATAGCCTTAATTATTCGAGAATTACATTTACGTCCTTTTAATTTTATCTTGTTACATCTTAATTATTCTATTCCAAATCTGTTATTTTCTTTCTTAAGTTTGTTTCTTATTTGAGTTTTGAATTTACTCCTACATCAAGTTATTTGAATGTTTTCTTTGTGTGTTATCTAATCATTTGAGTTGTTGTCTTGCTGATTGGCTAACTTTTCAATATTGGAGAGTACTTTGCTTAGAGGGTGATCCATTGTTTGAGTGTTAAACATGAGTGAATTTCAATAACGAGTGGAAACACGTGAGGGAGTGCTTATGAGGTCCATTTCTTGTCACTTTAATTTGTTTTGCAGCATGTCTAATCCTGAAGACGATGTTATTCCCAATGACTGGAGGAGAGACGCACTATAAGGAACTATGGAACAAATGATTCGTGGTATGAAGGCATTGACAAGATGGGTAGGAAGGTTGGAGGCTCAAAACCAAGCTAAGAGATAGTTCCACCACCTCCACCACCATATGTGGTAAATGAGGATAATTATGAAGGTGATGGATTTGATCATTGGGAGGACGATCAAGTTATAGTCTTGGCAGCTCCAAGAGGGAGAGAGAGACATGTTGGTCGTGGCTTAGATCAAGGGAGAGGCCGAGGAAGATACCACCATAATTTCTAATAGAGAGCTCCACGAGAGTAGGGGTGATCAAACGAGACCGAAAAATCGATCGAACCGACGTCGGTCGGTCGATTTGAGATATGAGCCGGTCGGTGTCGGTTTTCCTCCATGAAAAACCGACTAGTCGGTCGGTCGACTCTTCTAATGTCAAAGGAACTGACCGATCGACCGACTTATAAATAATAAATAAATCTAAAATTTCACACCAATATTCCACGAGAGAGAGCATTTCTTTGAGAAGAAATGGCAACTGAGAGAAGATTAAATGAACCAAAGAAAGGTGGTAAGAGTAAAAGAAGGAATACGAGAGAGATAAAGTGGAAAAAAAAAGATAGGGAAAAAAGAGAGGGATAAAGGAGAATCCTGAAGTGAAAAAAAAAAAGAATGGGTAATAAGTTGCCACGTGAATTATGGGGGAGTGTAAAAAAAATAATAAAAAATTGTTTCACGTGATTCACGTGAATTGTTTTTATTAATAATAATAATAATAATAATTTATTGTTACTATTTCCTTTTTATTTATTTTTATTATTTTTCTTTTATTTATTTGTCATTAATTATTATTACTTCATTTTTATCCATCTCTTTCCCCACCTACGTGGCCATTTAATAGCTCTTTCTTTTTACCCCAATTTCTATTTATCTCTCCCTCCTTTCATCTTCTTCTCCTTTCTGTTTCTCTCTCCAATCTCCACATTTCTTTCTTTCTTTCATTCATCATTCTCTTCTCCTCCTTCCTCCATCGTCTTCCCATCTCCCATTTCTTCTCTTTCTTGCCTCTCTGATCTCTACATTTCTGTCACACCAACGCTTATTAAGAACTGCTCCTCTTTCAGTGTCGGGGTCGGCCAAAAATCGACCCCGACCGACCAATGCTCACCCCTACACGGGAGTATGCTCAAGTTGATCGAAACTTGGGAGATATCAAATTGAAGCTCAAAATTCTATGGTAAGACTGATCTGGAGGCGTACATTCAGTGGGAAAAACAAGTGGAATACGTATTTGATTGCCACAATTTCAGTGAAGAAAAGAAGGTAAGACTATGTATTGCTCAATTTAAAGATTATGCAAAAACATGGTGGGACAAATTAATGTCAAGTAGAAACGAAACCTTGAAGCGTCAATCAATTCATGATATGAATTCAAGGAGTTGTTGAGGAGGCGAGTTCTTCCTAGATATTTCCAAAAGGACACAGCGCAAAAGCTACAAGTTTTGAGACAAGGTAGCAAGTCTGTGGAGGACTATTACAAGGAGATGGATTTGTTGATGGATCGATTTGATCTTGAAGAGGACCTGGAGAATCTCATGAATGACGTAAACAAGGAGATTGCTGATAAGGTTGATCTACAACCTTACTTTAACATTAAAGAGATGTTGCATATTGCCATAAAGATCGAAAAGCAACTCCAATGAAAGTCCCAAAGGTATTCTACTAAACCTTCTTCAAGTACTACATGGAAAAGGGATATTAATCATGCTGAATATAAGTTTAAGAGCCGGGAGTTAAGTGAGAAACCTAAGGATAAGGGAGAGACTTCATAGGGAAAAAAGGTTGATGAGACTAAGGGAGAAATAGAGATTTTAAGTGTTGGAAATGTAGAGAGGTTGGTCACTATAGTAAGATTGCCCTAATAGGAGAACTATGGCCCTTGGGAGGGAAAATTGGTGACGGACGATGAGGAGGAAGATGAGGTCGCAAAGGAAGAAAATGATGAGTGTGATTGTGAGGACTATAGTGAAGAGGACCTTACACATATGTTCTTAGCTAGTCACTAGGAGAGTTTTAAGCACCAAAGTTAAGGAAGATAGCTTAGACCAAGGAAAGAATTTATTTCACACTAGGGACCTTGTTCAATATGTACCTTGTAGTATAGTAATCGACAATGGTAATTACACCAATGTTGTGAGTTCAATTTTGGTCAAAAGACTTAACTTAGAGACTAAACCACATCCTAGACCATATAAGCTTCAATGGTTGAGTGATTATAGGGAGGTAAGGGTGAGTAAGCAAGCTTTTGTTTCTTTTACTATTTGGAAGTATGCTGATGATGTTTTGTGTGATGTTGTCTCAATGCATGCCAGAGATATTTTATTGGGGAGACCATGACAATTTGATCATTGAGTAATGTACGATGGATAGGGGTGTTCAAAAAACCCCGTGACCCGACCAACCCGAACAATCCAACCCAAACAGTCAGAAATTTATTTGGGTAGGTTAGGTTGTTTTTTATATAGAACTGAAAATTCTGTTCGATTCTCAGGTTGAATTGATTCAACTCGAACCGAATCGAACCACCATTAACTAAAACAATTACTTTTATATATATACATATATATATATATATATATATATATATATATATATAAACACTCAGTTTATGGTTTTCTGCCGTCACACTCACCTCCCCATCCTGGCATCCTCTCTCCACCTCTCATTCCCTT